ACGAAACATGAAAATGTAATAAAAAAATATGATATAATATAATTGTAAAAACGAGGTTATAAAATATATATGTGAGTCCATCAAAAAAAAAAAAGAAAAAAGAAAAAAGAAAAAATAAACGTGACTTTGAGATTTCAGAGACATTTTTGCCTAGACTATTTCAAATTTGGTGACTCATCGTAAAACGTCAGCTTTTTATTTCGAACAATTGAACAATGCAAACGAAACATGAAAATGTAATAAAAAAATATGATATAATATAATTGTAAAAACATATTAAAACGAGGTTATAAAATATATATGTGAGTCCATCAAAAAAAAAAAAAGAAAAAATAAACGTGACTTTGAGATTTCAGAGACATTTTTGCCTAGACTATTTCAAATTTGGTGACTCATCGTAAAACGTCAGCCTTTTATTTCGAACAATCGAACAATGCAAACGAAACATGAAAATGTAATAAAAAAATATGATATAAAATATAATTGTAAAAACATATTGAAACGATGTTCTTCGCTTTGACTTTAACAATAATTTATCGTTATACTTACACGATATACTTTATTTCATTGCCTCGTAATAACTCTCGCGTGTTAACAGCGTTCAAATTATGAGAGCTCATGGGATTGAAGTGAAGGAGATTCCTGGGAGATAGAGCCATCCCGATGATTCCGTCGTTCAACTGGAATGTTTGCCCCTCGATCGTGTAGTTTTGATATCGGAGGTCCGCGTCGAACGCGCTCGAAGTCAGCCGTTGAAACGAATCGTCGCCATCGTAAACGATTAAACCATAACCCTCCACGTCTGATATATACACCTATGTCGTATCATGCATCGTGTTCGATCATCAAGCTTTCTCCTTTCATCTAGCGATAACTGATAACACTCACGTTGGTCCTCTTGCAATTGTGTCCAAAAGTTTGGACAACCGGTGTGACGAGCAGCCCGGAACCGGTAGTCGAGTTCGTCGCGACGTCCTTCGGTATTTCGATCCGTCTTAGCAATCGGGACGTGTGCAGATCGAACACGACGAGTTTTGCAGGGCAGGTCTGATCCGTGCCGACAACACCTGTGTCCAGAACCCACAATCTGTCGCACCTGTCGATCTACGATGACACGCTGTTTAATTGAATTTACAATGGACGACGTAACTGCATCAATGAGAATGAAAAAGATCGTCAATTTAAATTGATCTGTGAGAGAAACGATCCACCTGGCCTCGTTTTAAAGTATGAAACTCCTGGCATTGACAATCGTTAGTTTGTTCTTCTCGAAAATTGTCAAAGTCCAGTTGAGACATGAGAAGAAAATCTTTTTTTTTCACAACTAGATTCATCACTATTTCGAAGAATTGAAGGTTGCACGATTTCATCTAATATTTCAAAAAAGTCGCGCGGCGAGCTGTAAGGGAAAGATTTCAACCTTCAAAATCACGACGGGAATTTTCCAATGTCTCTACACACGCGTTCAGTCAGAAAATTGTAATTAAAATTATTAGTTAAAGATTTAAAGAAACAGGATCAACTTGTACACGGTTGTACCAAAGTTTAAATTATCGACAATTTTCCACTTTCATTAGTGCAGTTCTGCTCTTCGCTTCATCTTCTTTCCTATAATCATCAGGTGACAAGAAAAACGTAATTTTAAATATTTTTTAAAATTGTAGTCATCTCTATAAAACCATCAAATAAATTCCTATCTATCGTATTCATTTACTTGAAAATTATCGTATAATATTTAGCAAGAATCTAGTCTGAGTTTCTATTAAAGTTTAGGTGAAATTTCTAATCACCGCAACTCGATAAACGCTTATAATGGCGGAACAGTTTTTGACGTTGGCCCAGCTCCAATCGGGATACGGTGCCAGGAGAGGGCCACCAGGACCATTTCTGTCAGTTATGGTGTTCAAGGACGAAGGGATATCTTCTTCCTGTCTTATCACCGTGACAAAAGTGTAATCTTGAAAAAGAGTACAAAAAAAAAAAGAAAAAAAGAAAGAAAGGAGGAAAATATGAAATATACTACTTCGAAGAAAAGTACTATACTTTATAATAACTTACTGCGCCATCGATCCACGTCGATGGGTACAAATTTCGTATAGTCTCTAGAGGCTTCTTCCCCGTCATTCGAAACAAAATCAATATATTTCCACTCGTGAATCACTTCCATCGTGTTACTAAAATCCCTCGCTGCAGAATTTGTCCCATGGCTAATTACACCAAGGAACACAGCTACCGTCCACGACGTTATTAACATTATGTTTTGAGAAATAATCCGGCCAGAGACAAGTGGAAATTATTACAGAGAGAAATAGCGAAAGGACCAACGCAATAGTGAAAGAAATAACGCAGTGTCACAAGTTTTCTAAGCGCGTACTCGCGGATATTGGATTGGGACGAGGATGTCAGGCAATAAATACAAGCAGTAATGACCTGGTATATTTTCACCAGATAAGATAAACTGCATTGTTTCATATTTAATATTTACACTTACGAGAGGTAAGGAAATGCGATAATCGTGGTTAATTTTCGTCGTTCGAACAGCGAATTCGTCGAATTTATCGTACTTTGTGTTAGCACAAAGTTGCTGCAAACATTTGGCACGATGAAAAAAAAAAATCTAAAATTTGCCTCCTCGATTATTCGAGCCGAGATTCAATCAGGGAGAAGATTAAGCAAAGATTGATAAAAAAAAATGTAACTGTTCTATTAAAATAATATAGTATAATTCTATGTATTTTATAACGGCAAATTACAGGCTGTAGCGCAACGATATCTACGATTTATCAATAATTTTTCTTTGCAAATTGATTGTACGCTATTGTTTGAAATTTCCCTCATTATGTGACTCAGTGCTTTGTTCACGTTCTCATTTATTGCAATGCAATAAAGTGGAAAATTGAAGCTATTTTTTTTTCATTTCGGACGGAGCGTTCTGTATATTGCTGTATACAGCTATTGTCTAACAATTTTTAATCAATGTAAATAGATGTTACTCGGACGCGTGTATTATTTGCTTTATTTATTACATTATTGTAACACTCGTTGGAATCACTTTTGTCTTTGTCTTGTAAAAAATTCCATTTCTCGGGGAAGTGAATGCACTCGGTAAACGATATTCACATTTTTATTATTATTATTATTATTATTGTTATTATTACAGTAAACCGGAAATACAGTCTATTTCGTAATTAAATAAAACTGGCATAAGCTGATAAATCAATATCAATGAATGAAGTAAAATTCGTGGAATCATATCGCCTATCTTAAAATAAATTTGCGAACATTCGGAAACATCAGCGAGCAGCGACGTGAAAACTTCGTAAATAAAATGATCGTAAATTAAATGATGACTAATACTACAAATATTTCTTCGCAATTTCACTCACGTTCTGAGTCGCCACTTCAAAATCACGTGAAATCAACGTAGAAATCTTCTGATCAGATATGTCTGATCCACGTGTTTCGTGGAGCTAATGCCAAGAGGATGGCTCAGGTAATGATCAGGTGATAATAATCTTCGAAAATAGCGGGACTCGGAAGGAGGATCGTTCGTAAAAAATGGCCGAAAGTTCCGACGATAGTAGTCGGAGAACTGCTCGCGATGCCACGACCATCATTTCGAATGAAGGAACGTTTCCAACGAAGAGACGTCGCATTTCGTGCCGCGGATCAACTCGTCCACGAAGCCAGCTTGGATCCTGAAGTTCGTCTCGTTCGAGTGCAACGTGCCGGCCATGTATTTCTGGAATGACGCCGTGAGGATCCACAGCTCTTGCCTGCCTCTCTTCGACGTTATAATCTGAAAGAGAAGACCTAGTGATTCTGACTCGGCCCTGTCAATCGTGTCAATCATCTTAGCTCTCCTTTCCCTCCAAGCTTTAACCGATTTAACTTTTTTTAATTAAATAACCGGAGAGAAGATAAAAATTTTACTTTTAGAATCCACAATTTACGACTAACTTGGGACGGGTATCCCAACAATTATACACTTTTATACAATACTATTGCCTTGTCATTTTGTCCCTTATTTGAAAAAGTCAGTCACGAAGGTATCTTTAATTTTAGTTTACATAGTGGGGCTCGTGCAACGTTTCGAGGGGAAGGAAACAACAGAGTGGAGGGGGTAGAGCTCTTCTCCTCCATAGTCAGTTAGACAAGTGTGATCTATAATAACTACTGAAAACGGAAATTTTCTTTCCAGTTATTCGATATTCAGTTTTCTGCAAAGGTCACGATTCTCGAGGAGATACTGTCTATTTGAATTCCACGTTCTATATGAGCTTTGAACAATGGAAATCGAACTATGAAAGCATCGAGGCATCTCGGGATTTTGTACACACGTACCTTCATGCCAGAGGGGAATTGCAGCGTCTCCGAGTTCCTAACGATTATCTCGATGTTTCCATTCCCGTACCGTGGATAGTGCTTGCTGTTCCAGCAAGCGATCGCTAGATCAGACATCAAACCGAAGAAAAGCACGCCATCGCGATCCATAGCCTCGGCCGCGGACTGCGAGGATCTCTGGTCTTCGAACGCCACGAACGATCTTGCAGCCGCCTCGGAGTTCTCGTCGAAAAGAGTGTAATTCCTGGATCAGGGAAACGAGCGATCGTTTGTTTTAAAAATGATTAACAACAATAGGATTGCTCGAAACGTCGAATCTAAACTCTCGAAAAAGAAACTTAAGAAAGTTTCGAGTTTTAAAAATTCGATAAGAAAGATAAAGAAAAGTATAAAATCAGTCAGAATAATAATGCGCCGTTTGTAGAATGAATAACAAATGTTTAAACATGTTGTGACCAGGTTGTTCTCACCTGCTTCAGAATTAGGCCAGGCAAAATTAACTTATAAACATTTGATGTATAAAGAAGATGCCCGACAAATGTGTTGTAACGTTATATATAATTATATAATAATAGTTAAGTTACATACTCCAATCGAATGTAATCTATCGATCGATTTAAAAAATTCATACTTAAATGGAAAGCAGCATTCAATTAGCAATTATTATTATTAATAATGCACATCTCGGACATCTCATTTAGAGATTGTAGAATTTCTAGTTTCCATTTCAATGTATAGAACTCATTGATAAAAATCTTCATGTAGTCGCTAATAATCTGAGACGTCGATGTAATTGTAAATAAATGTACAGAGAAAAAAAAAAAGAAATAAAAGAATGTTTGATTTATATGTATGTCAAATATGCTTCGCAAAGGCTCAATTTTTTATTTTTAATTCCGAAACGACAATGTGAAATATCTTGTTTATTTATTGTTAAATTATTAAAATTACTAATATATATAATTACTATTAAATTATTAAATTATTAGAAATATCTTATTATTACACACGATTAAAAGATGTTCATAAACAAAAATATTCTGAATCAGGATATTTCCGTATGTTGTCACGTTTAACAGTGAACAATAAAAATTCGCATAAAAATATTGACTTTCTTAAAACAAGAAATTACAAAAAACAAAATGAAATCAGCACTTTTCCTCGGCAAGTTCGCAATCAAAGTTTCCGACTCGAGTGCCGAGAATTTAACACCCTTGCGCTGGCAACTGGTTCGCGGACCATAACGAGTGACCAAACTATACACAATAATTCATCGCTTCCTTTTAATAGAATTACTAAGAAGTAATAAATTTATTATTTGTTTAAATAATAAATTGAATATAGTTAAAATTAAGAAAATATTGCAATTTATTTTGTCGTGTGAAATCCTAACCTACTTCAAATCGAGATTTTAACCCCTTGCGCTGGCAACTGGTTCGCGGACCATAACGAGTGACCAAACTATACACAATAATTCGTCGCTTTCTTTTTGAACTCGTCGATATGATATCACTGGATAGAAATTATTAAGTAATAAATTTATTATTTGTTTTGCCTCTTGGGTTATATTTGAATATAGTTAAAACTTCTTAGTTATCTTAGTTAAAACTAAGAAAATATTGCAATTTATTTTGTCGTGTGAAATCCTAACCTACTTCAAA